TTATTGCCCCTTTGTTCATATAGCAGTACTTTTAAAATAAAAGTGCGCAATACACTACTTTTTAATTCATTATTGAACTTTGCCATAACAATGCGATTAATCGCAAAAAATCCATGCGATTAATCGCGATTAAATATTTTAATCTTTGCCCAGCACTAATATATACAATACACCTGACACATGTGTCACACTTTCAAAGTAATTACAAGTTAAATTAAGTACAACTTGTACTTACTTGAAAAAAATAGGTAATTGTAATGTGCTAAATGAACCTTGTAAACATGGATGCAATATTGAGTCAAAGTCCCTTTTGTACCCTTTGTAATTTTGTCTATTCTTCAGGAGTAATAGAAGTGTTCAGTTATTAACATTTATTGAAGTTTGTTTTCATTACTGTTTGAGAAATGCAAGATTATCACTTCGTTACAGCATCCAATGTTCCCCTCGAGATAAAGAAACTTGTCTTTGACAAGGAAATGCTGCTGTCTCGACTTCGAGAAGAAGATGGGATTCTCATCAAAGAGATGAGTAACCACTGCCGTTACCTCAAAGGCTCTTTCAAAAGTATGAAAAGAGAGATCCAGCAGATAGAGGAGGACCTGGATAAACAGAGTATGTATTTAACTGAAATATAAAGACCCCAATGATCATTATTTGACATGAGTTTATGTATTTGATCGTGATTCATTTGAATGCAAAGTTATTTAATGATCACAAATGTATAGAACAATATTGCCCATTTCCCCCTTTTAGGCTGTCCTTTTAAAATGTCCTTGGAGGCATATGAGGGGCTGAAGGATCTGTTGAAAAATAAACTCCAGGAGATGGAGACACAGATGAAGGAGGCGTTCAGCATATACAGGTTAGTATACTACATACAGACTTTTTTTTGAGAAATATACTGGCTTCAGTTGTTGTTGTTTTGAGTAGAAATGGTTGAAATTGGTGAGAGGTATTTTCTTTGCATGCAAACATTATAGGTATGGCATATAGCAATGCCACATTAATAACTTAAAATCTCTTATATAATATATTAAAGTCAGCTGTCATCTAACACAATACAAAAAACAACAATTAATATTGTATATATGAAAAAATATTCTTAATAATCCCTTTGAAATATTTATTGAATTTGTATTAATGGATTAGAAATGTCCCTGTACAGGATAAAATGTCTTCACTCCACTGTATGTATATGTGTATATATCACCTTCCAGAACATGACAACATTAGATGAATTTCAGTACTTTTTTACTTTTACAATACATTTTTTGATTTTCTCCATTTATGCATGTCACTGTATGTTTACCCCAGCATTCCTTAATATTACCTTGCAGGTAGTATACAATTTAGATTGTCAAACATTACAATGCTGTCAGCCTGAATGCAAACGATGACCATAAGTAATGCTTTTATATGCAGGAATGTTTTTGATGGACCCCACTGCCCTGGAGGAGGAGGAGGAGGAGGAGGTGTGGGATGGGGATGGGGACGGGGACCCTCTGACCCTTGATGCTGACTCTTCTGATGATGAACCTCTTCCAGACATGCCCCTGTCATCATAATCCTTCGCAGTTTGGGAAACCAAAAAACATGAATATTTCTTCATGCAATAAAGTGATATTTTACCGATTCATAAATTGTGTATTTTATTATTTCAATTATTATTAAGTCATATTAATCTTGCAACCATTCAGAAAAGCATTAAAAACCCTATTTAACACTTGGAAAAGTTTTTCCTCAGCTGTTCTAACATTGTTGAAATTGAATACTGGTGGATTTGAAATATTTCATAAAAAAACTGACAGTCTGAACTTTGCAACCTGTTTTCAAGAATCAAGATGTAATTTCAATGTAGACACACGTGGGGTCGCTATTCTGTCTGGTTCGTGGAGCCATGCATTGTCTGGTACGTAAATAACGAAGAAGAAAACGAGGGAAAGTGACGTACTTCCTGTCCGCCATGAAAATATTCCCAGTTAAACGTGCAAAGAAATAATTATATCTGCAAAGTGCGATCGTGTCCTGATCTATGCAGAAAAAAATGCGAACGTTATTATATACAGTCTATGGTGCGAACACATCAGATAATTAACAGTTCAAAAGCTGAAAAAGGGATCCCAAGCTTGCATTACATCCCAAAAATACAAAACGCTGGCATGATAATGTAGAATGAAAATAATGGTTAGACATGAAACGCCCCGAAACACCTGTGATTAATTAACCATTAACCAGTATAATAATTAGTCCAATGGATTTTGTCGAAAATGAAACGCTAGCAGGATAACGTAAACAAGGGTAATGGGGGTGTCCCTACGTACGTCACTCGGGAATTCCCATTGATGGAGTTGAATCAGTTTAGGTGAAAAAAACTACTGTTATGGTATACACGAATAGTTCCTATGACACACATCAATGGCAGACGCCTAATGCTGTCATAATCTGCAGGAGATACAAAAATATATGGGAATTAAATTAACCCATTCATTAAAGTAAATGATGAGGTGGCGGGGGGGGGGGGGGGGGGCATTGTCTTTGCCCTGCATTGTAGCATACAGGAGAAATATGTTGATTAGAAACGTATTTGTAATACGTCGAACCAAACGTAATCATGGAGAAAATACATTTTCAGTCAAACGTAATATAACGTAGTTATACCATCCATCCATCCATTTTCCACCGCTTATCCGGGGTCGGGTCGCGGTGGCAGCAGGTCAAGCAGGCCGACCCAGACCTCCCTCTCACCAGCAACATGTTCCATCTCATTCTGGGGGATCCTGAGGCGTTCCCAGGCCAGCTGGGAGATGTAATCTCTCCAGCGTGTTCTGGGTCTTCCCCGGGGTCTCTTCCCAGTTGGACGTGCCTGGAAAACCTCCAGTGGGAGGCGTCCAGGAGGCATCCTAATTAGATGCCCGAACCACCTCAGCTGACTCCTTTCGACGCGAAGGAGTAGCGGCTCTACTCCAAGCTCCCTCCTGATGACCGAGCTCCTTACTCTATCTCTAAGGCTGAGCCCGGCCACCCTACGGAGGAAACTCATTTCGGCCGCTTGTAGCCGTGACCTTGTCCTTTCGGTCACGACCCAGAGTTCGTGACCATAGGTGAGGGTAGGAACGTAGACCGAGTGGTAAATTGAGAGCTTTGCCTTCCGGCTCAGCTCCCTCTTCACCAAGGCGGTCCGGTGCAGCGCCTGCTTTACTGCTGCAGCTGCACCGATCCATCTGTCGATCTCCCGCTCCATCTTACCCTCACTCGTGAACAAGACCCCGAGATACTTGAACTCCTTCGCTTGAGGTAGGCACTCCGTCCCCACCTGGAGGGAGCAATCCACCGGTTTCCAGCAGAGAACCAAGGCCTCAGATTTGGAGGTGCTAACTCTCATCCCCGCCGCTTCACACTTGGCTGCAAACCGCCCCAGTGAATGCTGGAGGTCACGATCCGAGGACGCTAACAGGACCACATCATCTGCCCTTTCCAGGACCCCTCCCACCGACTCCAAGAAGGCCGGATACTCCGAACTGCTGTTTGGTGCATAAGCACAAACCACAGTCAGAGCCTTGCTCCCCGCAACCCATAGGCGCATGGAGGCGACCCTCTCGCTCTCCGGGGAGAACTCCAACACAGCGGCGCTCAGCCGGGGGCTCGTGAGTATCCCCACTCCCGCCCGGCGCCTCTCACCCTGGGCAACTCCGGAAAAGGACAAAGTCCAACCCCTCTCCAGGAGCTTGGTTCCAGAGCCAACGCTGTGTGTGGAGGTGAGTCCAACTATTTCTAGCTGGTATCGCTCCACCTCCTGCACCAGCTCCAGCTCTTTCCCCGCTAGCGAGGTGACGTTCCACGTCCCTAGAGCTAGTCTATGCTGCCGGGGATCGGGATGCCCGGGCCTCCCGCCCGACCCACCGCCCGGTCTGCATAGCACCCGACCCCGATGCTTGTTCCTGCAGGTGGTGGGTCCACAGGGTGGCTGCTCCATGGTGTTTATTCGGGCTAAGCCCGACCGGGCCCCATGGGCAAAGGCCCGGCCACCAGACGCTCGCCTACGAGCTCCCCTCCTGGGTCTGGCTCCGGGAGGGTGCCCCGGTTTCCCTGGTTCGGGCACAAACGTATGCGCATTGTGGGAAACACACGGCAAAGATATGTTGATTAGAAACGTATTTGTAATAAATCGAACCAAACATGGAGAAAATACATTTTCAGTCAAACGTAATATAACGTAGTTATACGTCAAACACAAATGTATGCGCATTGTGGGAAACACACGGCAAAGATATGTTGATTAGAAACGTATTTGTAATACGTCAAACACGTGTTCTGTGATATTTATACTGTGTTCTGTGTCTTGTTCACAGGACCGATTTCTACCGGCAGTTTGTCTTATTTATGAATTATTTGCGTCTGTACGTTTTGAAATGTCGATTGTGATGTCAATATTAAATAACCCAGAATATGATTATGGTTTCTCTTGAACACTGCATTAATTTATTAGGCTCAATGTTTCAGGTTACATTTAAATAATAAAACTCATCAAACCCGACACTCAGGAATGATCACCCTCACGTGACTGAATGAAATGATGATAAATAATGTAAAAAGTGTTTTGTCTCTCCAGCTCTCTCTGACTTTAATTGTATCCATAATAAAAGTTATTGAGGGAAATATCAGATCATGAAAAGACAAATCTTTCTAATAAATGGAGAAAATTGTTTGTGTTTGACGTTTTGTTGTTCAGACTACAATGAACATTTATTTAAATCAGATGGTGAATCAGAAAACTAATCAAATATAAATCTTGAGTTTAATCTGCGATCCGTCTTCACTGTTTACATGTTGAAAAAAATCAGATCAGTCCGATCGGCTGCAGCGTCCAATCACATAACTGATGAACAATGAGGGGGCGTGTTGGCCGTTAAAACACTTCCTGGAAGGCTGTTCTCGTGCGTCCTTGCTCATGGCTCCTCAGAGATGCCTCCTCGATCCTCCGAGCTTTGGGACGGCCGTCAATATGGCGGTGCAGAACAACTTCCGGTTCAAGCGAGGAGCGAGGAAATGACAATTAAGAGACTTGGGCTGTACCCACAGACGAAAAGAAGAGGCACAGGGGGAACCAGGAGGCACAGCCTGGCTGTGACGTAGTGTTTTCTTAGTGGTATTCTGGATTAATGTTGAAGCTAGCTACAGTACAACAATATCACTCTTGTTTTTAGATTTATCTTAAAAACCCTCTTTAGATCACCATCTACTTCCAACATTCCTTCAGTTTTAACATTTTGTGTATTAGCCAAAGCTTTATATACAATAATCAGAAGGAGGAGAAGGTGAGCAGTGTTTGGTTGATAGTAGCTGGCTAGTATAAATATTATTTAGTATGTAAAGCAAAAGAAGGGATCATCATCACAGTACAGGTCCTGACTTCTGGCTGTGAAAATGCTTTCATGATCCATGGTATCAAATTTGACACATAAGTGTTTCCTGATTTTTACTTACCCATTAAAATGAAATTAAATTCACCTAATAAACACAAAATGAATAGTTCCTCATAGTAACTAACTGATTAAGTCTATGAAATAGCTAAAAGAAAAATTTTCATTGCAATCTGTAGAAGTCCCTCGGGATCCAGAACATGTTCCTCATGTTGAGCAGAGAACAGTCTTCTGCTGGACGCTCACAGTTTGGGTTGGGGCAAGTCTGTGTTCAGAGCCTTCACCTGTTCAGTGTTCTGGGAGCTGAGAAAGGTGTGGTCCTGAATTAAATAGGTGGTGATAAAATCTGGGAAATCTCTCTTTAGGACCACTTCCAGGAACATGTCCGCTGCTGTGTGTAACCTCTGTTTAGCCCTAAAGAAGACAGACAGAAAGAGACATAACACCTGAACACCTGAGCCACAGCGCCGATAGGACAGAATATTCTACAGTGATGCAAATACAGAAATCTATTTCCAACAGGAAAAGACAAAGAGTTACGGAAAGAATGTATATATATATTTAATCAAAGTATCGATATGTAAAAATCTTGTGTTTCTCTATCTCAGAATTTAAACTACCTGTTTCATAATGCTGAGTAATGTTGACTTGTTTTTTGTAATTCCTAACTTTCAAGCCATTCTTTTCTTTTTTCGTAGGCAAGTCCACAGAGACACTATGTGCTAACTGTAGCTTACACATAATGGACCGATAACATTTTGTTAGCAATGGTATTGAAGAATTAGGACCCCAACATCTAAACTGACCGATGTTTGATAAAGAACAGACATTAGCTCGAAAACTGAAGTGGTTTATGGTTCAATGTCTGTGCCTCTTTTTGTGTTATGTGGCTGGTTGTCAATGTCAAAGTAAACATATGGTTACTTTGCAAATAAATCCCCTGACCATTCAAATGGGCATAACTCTAAAATATCATTTGAGATTAAACTGTCCTTAAAGTAAACATGAAATGTTAAATGATTTAATTGATGTATTCCTGTATTTTAGTGCCATGCTTTTCCTTTTCAAATTTCATAAACATCAATCAAACATATATGTACAGCCAAAAGAAACCAAAAACACAAACAAGGTACACGAACATCATATTACGGGGAGCAGATGGAAACAAAACAAAGCAAACGTATTTTACCTAAAAAGTGTTTGCAATCCGAAATACTTCAACCCTAAACAATCATTCAAATGTCTGCCCATCGTCCACCCAGAACAGCTCAGGGTTTTGATATAACATTTCATAAAACAAGGGAAACCTCAAATCGTCATTTAATGATATGAAATGAAAGTTTTCAACATCTTTTAGATCACAACTATTGCAAATTCCTGCATGAATTTGAACCGACCTACTTCAATAGCAAGGGGTAGGATACCAGCTCTGAAAAGAGCACACAATGACCTCTGGCCTCTAGTTAGAAAGGAAGTAACAAAGGGCCCATGTCCATAACACTGCTTCATCTGAACATATGATCGAGATTTGACAATATGTCATTTGAACATTTGTCTCTGAAAATATAGTTTCACTACGTTACCATCACAGCAAAGCATTTTACGAAAGATATACGCCAAGTCTGGCTCTCTAAGATTTAATATATTTCCTTGGTCAAGGATGACTGTGTGCCTTATCTTAGTTAAAAACATTTTTTTGTTATCTCTGGCAAATGCATCAGGCGGTTCCAAAGCCGTATCATCTCTCTCTTTTGTTCAAGATCCAGTGGCCCCTATACCCATATCTCCTTTTATCCCAAGACGAGGAGTAAATCATGTATCCCCAGAAAACCTCTTATGGCTCCATTCTGAAAATAATTGAACTTTTTGGCATCCTTGCAACCCCACATTCCAGCTGCATAGCTAAGAATTGGACAAAATCATTCATAGAGCTGTGAGTATGTGGATCGATATCTTTACAAAATGAATTTAGCTGATTATCGATCATGTTCGGCCCGCAGAGTCTGCTGGTATTCCAATCACTATTTCATAAGACATGAATTCATCCAAAGTAAAGTTTAAATATTAATAGGAATCAGTAGTGGCGGCTGGCCAATAGAGGGCCATGGGGCGTGGCCTCACCTTGAGCACCCCTCCTTGAGCCACAAAAATATATATATATAATAATAATAATAATAATAATAAATTATACAAATTGTCAATATTTGTGTTTTTGAAATATGGAATGTACCCAGTAATATTTGTAAAATATGATATCTGCGCAAAATATATGCTTTTCCTGCTCGTCCTCTCCGCCTGTCTGCATGTCTCAGCCATGGAGAAATGGCCCACAGGAGGCGGGTCTATGAAGCAGTTTAACAAATTGCTGATTAAAGATATAAATGAGTGACATACAATTTAGCCAATCAGCGTCCTCAAATAGATTCAGCTTGGGGCCAAAGTTACGCATTCTCGTCAGGAGAAGTCTCTACAGGCGAGCGTGAGCACTACTCCTCCAAGACCCGTTTGAGAGGAGAACTTTGGCGGAGATTCTGCAGGTCAAAGAGCTGATCCCAGATCAGCCTGACCTCACAATCAGACAGCAGACTAGAGGGAAAGGGAAGCTGTACATGCAAAGCTTCTCTAGTAGCTTTACTCTGGCTGATCACAAGCCTCCATGTAGAGCAAACAATATTCAACATCTTCAAGGACTATGTCACCTGCATAAAGTAAACTGGAAGCCCTATCACTCACTTGGACTCAAGCTATAGGGGCCTGATGTAATGCTTTAATAGCTTTGTAAAACTTGCCATCAACACCACCCTGGATGAGTTTCAAAAGAGCAAATATACATTGACCCAATCAAAAGTACTGCGAGGGCCTGTTGTTAACAATATGTGAGTATATCTTATTGAGCGTACTCTCAGAATAAAACCCCTATAGTATAAAGGCACCCTGGGATCATTGTTGGCTTGATAATCGACTCATACCAAAGAGCTGGGATAATGCCATGTCAGAAACATGTCTTTAATAAACTGAATAACACAAGGCAATACCTTGGGAGTTTTAAGTTTATTATAATCCCCCTAAATGTTACACACTGTTATTTTAAATCATCACTGTATTCACTGATATGAGTTAATCATTCATGAGAAATTAATAAACGTGGGGTTTTTTTCTTTTAAAAGGTCTCTTAAGAGGACTTCCGGTTTAGCAAATGGCGGAGTAGGCAGCTCGTCAGAAGGGCTCTGTCACTATTTTACATTTATTTGGCATTTGCTTTAATAATTACCCACCTGAAACTTGGAGAACCAGCTTCTAAAATATATTCCTGCTACGGTGTACGCTGTATTCAGTTCAGCATGGGCAAACCCAACACAGCCAGAGGAGGTAAAAAACCCGAAAGCGAGAGCGAGGAAAGACATGATGGCGGCCTAGCATCAGACCTAGCTAGCGGCGACACCACACATGGCGGTGGCAATAACCCAGTGCTATCCCTCGTTGACATGCAGAAACTACTGGCCGGTATGGAGGAGCGAATAATCACAAATCTGACGGCACAAATTTCAGCCAACCACGCCACTATTACCAGACACGACCAGACAATTCAAGCCATTGAGACGTCAATGAACAACTTTCAGGGGAGAATAACTACACTGGAGACCATGGTCGGCAGCTTTATGAAGGAGAACGAACTACTGAAGTTTAAGGTCGACGACCTCGAAAACAGATCACGGAGGTGCAATATCTGTATTACGGGCATACCTGAGAGAGCGGAGGGCACCCGCCCAACTTCCTTCATTGAATCCTTCATAGGAGAATTATTCGGCGCTGACGCTTTTCCCCGTGGTTTAGCAGTGGACAGAGCGCGCCTCCTCCCTTCATTGCCTGCATTCATCATTTCCAGACGAAGCAGCGTATAATGCAGCTGGCACGAGAGAAAGGTCCCCTGTCCTACAGGGGCGCGGGAATTCATATTTACGCCGACTGCAGCGCTGAAGTGGCTAAAAAGAGAGCTACTTTTTGCCCTGTCAAATATTTATTTTTTCTTTCCTTTTTTTTTTTTTTCCTTTCTCATTTTGTTTTGTTTTGTTCTTTGTTTCCCCCCTGCCCTCCCTTCAGCGCTCTGTTGCTATATCCCTCTTCTTAAACTACTATGAGCGGTTGGTCCAGTAAGGTGACTAACGTCCCAACCAAGTTCATATCCTGGAATGTAAAAGGAGTCAATAACCCAGTTAAGAGACAAAGGGTCATGTCTCATCTACAACAATTGACAGTACACGTAGCATTCCTACAAGAAACCCACCTTTGTAACACCAACGTTGCTGGTCTCAAGCGAAAATGGGTTGTCCAGGTGTTCCATTCCAGATTTAATGCAAAGGCCAGAGGGACAGCCATATTGATTAATAAAAACACCTTTTTTCATCCCGAAGAGATTATTAGTGACCCAAATGTGAGATATGTTATTGTTACTGGACAACTCTGGGCTAATCCTGTGATTTTGGTAAACGTGTATGCCCCTAACTGCGATGACAGTAATTTTTTTGAGAAGCTATTTCTTGCAATACCTAAGCTTGACAATGGATTGCTTATAATAGGAGGTGATTTTAATCTTGTGCTGGATGTCACCTTGGATAGGTCATCCCAGAAACCTCAGAACCTTTCCAAGTCGGCTGGAGTTGTGAACAATTTCATGCATAATTGTGGCCTTTCAGATATTTGGAGGTTTAAGTTTCCCAACACCAGAGCTTACTCTTTTTTTCTCAAATGTGCATCATAACTATACCCGCATAGACTATTTCTTACTTGATAATAGACTGCTGCCTAAGGTTAAGTCCTGCTCGTATAATAGTATTGTTATATCAGATCACAGTGCCATTCCATTTGATTTAGACCTCCCAAACCGCCCACCCCCAAACAGAATTTGGAGACTCAACCCTCTCTTACTTACAGATGACAATTTTGTGAAGTTCATTTCAGCCCAAATACAATTCTTTCTAGAGACTAACTCCTCCCCAGAGATCTCGCAAGCTACATTATGGGAAACTCTTAAAGCATACGTCCGTGGGCAAATCATAGCCTATTCCTCTACCACAGCGGTTCCCAAACTCTTTAGGCCACGCACCCCCTTCTACATCCCGACCGGGTTCACGCACCCCCAATCCCCCCCACACCTTAAAAAAAAAAAAAGCAACAGAGCCTATTTATAGCCGCATAAAAATCGGACCAATGAGAGAACAGTTTGCTCGCGCGTGGCGATTGTTTACAAGATAAAAAAAGACAAAAAAACTTCCTGCACCGTGCCTTCGAAAAGGTAATGGACGTACACCAGAAGATTGGCCAGATTGGCCACATCTGTAGACTCGTCTACTTGCAGAGAGTAAAACTCACTCTTCTTCACGCGACCGACTAATGTAGCCAGGATGTCTTCGGAC